ATTCTCCTGCCACTCCCCACACTCCACCCTCCTTCCGTCCCTCCCCACCCCTCTTTCCCCCATCCGCCAGACCTACGTGTACCAGGACCCCTCGTGCTACTCGTTCAACCTGAACCACGTGGTGGTAATAGTGGGGTACCTTATAGCGGGTGTGGAGTCCAAGGCACCAGGGCTGGCGCCGCCCTACTGGATCATCCGCAACTCGTGGGGGCCGGACTGGGGCTCGGGAGGGTACATGCGCATGGCCATCCAGGGGGGGAATGGCGTTTGTGGAGTCAACACTCTGCCCGCTCTTGTCCCTGTTGTGAAGGGTGAGTTAAGGGAAGAGGAGGGGAGGAGGCGGGCGCGGTGGGAGGGAGAGAGGGAAGGTTGGGGGAACGGAGGGGAAGGGAGGGGAGGGGAGGGGAGGGGAGCGATGGTGGCGGGGAGGGAGGGAGGGAGTGAAGAAACAAGTACTGAGGCGCCCTTTTTGCTCCCTGCCGTTGTTTTTCACTGATCTATCGTGCCCCTTCAACCCCCTGACACTCTTTCCTCTCCTTTCGAAGCACCTGAAATATCTTTCCTCTTTACCTGATTCCTTCTCTTCTATTACCCCTCCCCTCCTTCCCTCCTTTCGACCTTTCCTCTTCTCTCCTCGCCACATATCCCCTGGCCGAATCTCTTCCCTCGTTCGACTCCTCCCCTCCTACCCACACAGACCCCACAAACCCCTGCAACCCCAGCTCGTTCCGAGTATCGGGGGGGCCGGCGCTGAACCCGTGTGGGGGCTTCACATGCTCCGTGGACCCCACCAACGCCACCACCAACGTGTGTGACTGCAAGCTGCCCTTCGTCATGGCCACCAACACCGACGGCTCCCGCACCTGCGCCTACTGTACGCCTCCCATCTGCCCTCCCTGCCCTATCTGCCCTATCTGCCCTCCCTGCCCTATCTGCCCTATCTGCCCTCCCTGCCCTATCTGCCCTATCTGCCCTCCCTGCCCTCCCTGCCCTATCTGCCCTATCTTCCTGCCCTCCCTGCCCTATCTGCCCTCCCTGCCCTCCCTGCCCTCCCTGCCCTCCCTGCCGTCTTTGCCACCTCGACTCGCTATTTTCTCCCTTGTGCCCTCTGACCCTCTGTGCCACCTGCGGCTTCTGTACCCCTCCCTCTACTCCACGTGGCGCCCCCATGCCATCTCGCCCTCCACCTGTTCCTTACTCGCTCTCCCTTTGCTTTCGACTCACATGCTTCTCACACGCCACTTGCAATCCCCCTCCACGCCTCTCCTCTGCAGCAAGTGACGGCTAGTTACTCTTCTCGTGCAAAGTACACCCTTCCTTTTCCTCCTCTCCTGTCCCACTTCTCCATGTTCGTGCTCATTCCTCTCCTTCCCTTCCCCCTCTTTGCCCTCTCCTTCGCTCTCCTTTCCCTCTCCTTCCTCTCCTTTCCCTCTCCTTCATCTCCTTTCCCTCTCCTTCCTCTCCTTTCCCTCTCCTTACTCTCTTTGCCCTGCAGTGGATGCATGTGGGACAGCAAACCGCAACCCATGCCTGGTGGGCACGTGTGTGAATGACGGCAAGGGCGCGTACTCGTGTGTGTGCCCCCCGGGCTACTGGCACGGGCTCACTGATGAAGGCTCTGAGTCCTGCTTCCCCGGTAAGTTCTGATACTTCCCAAAAGTGACTCAAACATATGTGTGAATGACGGCAAGGGGCCGTACTCGTGTGTGTGTCCGCTGGGCTACTGGCACGGACTCACAGTTGATGGCTCTGAGTCCTGCTTCCCCGGTCAGCCCTGCCTCCCTGCTCGATTGCCGCTGCATCCTCGTTGTTACTCGCTTGTTCATTGGCTAGTGCCGTGCCGTGACTATGAATAATGCCTCTTTCCTGTCTCTGATGTGTGGTTCTATTTCCCATGTGTTTGCTTGTGCCATGGTATGGTGTTGCATGGCATGGTGTGGAATTTATCTGTGGCACCAACAGGGGATGCGGGGACGACATACATTGTGACATTCAGCAACGTTCGGTGCTCAGACATCCACCCCATCTACAGCCTCACTCTCACAGAGTTCAAGGCCAAAAACGTACGCTCCACATGCCTCGTGCCCCACGCTTTACGCTACATGCCAGATGTCACTTACAAATGGTCCTCTCTCTCGTCTCCCTCACGCTCCCCCTCCTTCCCTCACATTCTCACATTCCAGCCGCTTTCCCCCGTTTCCCCACGTTTACCCAACATTTATCCTCCTCATTTCACCCCATGCCATCCCACCCCCCCCCCCCCCCCCCCCCCCCCCCCCCTTGGCGCCTGCCTGTCCTCCCGCCCCACCAGCCCACGGTGAACTGCAACGCTGACATCCCTGTGGGCACGGAGGTGGATGTGTCCTCTGCAGTCACCGTCTCCGCCTGCACCGTCCTCTACTACACCTCCTCCGTGCGCTCTCTGCCCTTCCCCCGCCACTTCCTGTGTCCTCTTCCGTCTTCCCTCTCCCTCGGCCTTCTCCCTCTGCCCTCTCCCTCTCCCCTCTCACTCACTCTACTGTGTTAGCTAGCTTGGAACTGTTGTTTTCCACAACATTTTTTTCTACCCTGCACTGCTCTAGTTTCCCAAACTCCTCCCTACCCAACCAACTCCTACCTAGCCACACCCTCCACCCCAATTTCCCCTTCCCGCACTCACCCCTCACCCCCCCCCCTTCCCCACCCACCACACTTCCCCTTTCTTCCACTCCCCCCGCGCGTTTCTCCCGCCCCCTTCCCCCTTCACCAGAAGGACACCTGTGCATCGCTCCAAACCTACTTCAACCTCACCAATATCACCGCTCACAACCGCGGTCTGGACTGCACAGTACCACTCAAGCCCAACACTGCCCTGTGTGTGGAGCGCAACCCTGCTCTAGCGGGCTTCCGCTACGAGTGCTCTCAGTGGCGCAGCGTCACTGCCAGCGATACTTGCGACTCACTCCGCCTCTCCGCCAAACCTCCTCTCTCCCCTCTGAGTTTCTTCCGCCTGAACATGGGGATTAACTGCGACCACATGGCGCCTGCTGTCAGCATCCTGGGCGAGAGCTCCTGGGCTACCAGCTCGTCGGGATACTTTGGCTTCCAGGTGCGGTGACGCGGGGTGATATGCGGTGTGATGCGGTGCTGGAAGGGAGGGCCGGTTTCCTGCCTGTCATTCCTCCTGCCATGCCTTGTCTCCTTCCTTTGCTCTCCTCTACCCACACCGCTTTCCCTGCATCACCTGCCGCCCTGTTGTCCTTCCAATTCATCTCCCCCTCGTCTTCCTCTTCTCTCAACCTCGCTCTCCCGTGTCCCACCCAACCCTACCCATCCCCTCCCTTTCCCCCTCTCACCTCAGGTGTGTCTGTCCAGCCAAGCAGCGTTCGGGCAGCAGTGCCCATCGGGCACCAAGGGAATTCCAACGTCCATGCAGTGTGCAGGAATCAACAGCAATTACTATTATAACATTCAAGGCGCCTTCAAGTCCTGCAACGGCTTCGAATGCCCTAGTTCTGTGCCCTCGGGAATGTGGATCTGCGACCCTGCCGGCACATGGACTCCCTGTCTCAATGTACCCTAACCGTCAGCCCAACTCTAACCCTAACCCTATTTTCTAAACCCTAAGCTCCATAATCTATACCTTATTCCCTGTACCTTGTACTCTAGCCTTATGGCCTGATGCGAACCCTCCTAACCCGTTGCTAGCTGCTTTGCTCTGCTCCCAGCAGAGGAGGGGGGGAGGGGAAGGGGGGACGGGAGGAGGGGGAACCACTTGCCAAACAGGTGTTTTTATCCGAGCTGGGCGTTTGTACGGACATTGACTTGACACATCCTCCTCCGTAGCAGCATGCGCTGCGGTGGAAGGTAAGGGAGTACAGCTCTCTAGCCGAGCACACTTCAACACTGCCAGCAGCCAACAGCTTACAGCCATCAGCCCTGTCTGTGGCCCTATCAGACAACAACAGACACTCTGCTCCTCACCTGTCCTGACTGCTTCCTCATCCTCGCATCGCACCTACCCACGGCATCTCTCTGTTCTGTTCTGCCAAGGATTTCTTCTCAGCTGAGGCCCACTCCCTCACATGTCTTTCAGCCCGAGACAATCCCCATGTCCGTATAACTAACTTTAGTGAATGTTGGAATGGAGTCCTCCCGAATCCTGATTCCTGAATTAAGCACACCCGAATCCTCATCCTCCAGGGAGGTTTGCCTTTTCCATTTTGGGTTTGTTTGTTTGTGTGTGTGTGTACTTGTTGAGCAAGACGATTTTGTACGAGCAATATGATTTTGTGCTGGCATTTAGCTGCTTATTGCAGCAGGATCTAAAAAGCTGGTGATTGTGCTGTGAACCTCCTTTCGTACCTGAACACACATGGGCTGAAAATCGAGAAGTTAATCTCCACATTCATGCATCACTCACTAACAACAACTCAGGCAACAAGCTTAGGACAGAGGCTCACACTTGGACTGGATATTTGTCAATGAGATGAGTAGAGGTTGAAGCTCATCCATCTGCTGAAGCTAGCAAACTCGGAGCAGGGTACCATCATCTGCACTGCCTTTCAACAGGGCGAGTGACAAGAGTCGCATAGCAACGCAGCAACTCTCCGCATTGGGCATGAATGGTTCACACCACAACACCACATGGATGTTAGGGCATGGTTCAGCTGGTACAGAACTGCTGATCACAATTGCTGGTCTAAAATTCTTTACTGCCAGTATTTACCGTGCACCTTCAGCAAAGAGATAGGAAATTACACTCTGGAAGGAAGACTGAAATTTGGGAAGTGTGAGAACAAAGAAAGCCTGCATCTGAATGCAGTTTTCTAGTGTACGTATCCCTATGTGTCTGGGCTAGTGTTGCAGCAGAGAGGCTGCAGGCTCACTTATGTCAAACCAACATCTCAGTTCACAGCTACCGTACTTTCCTCCTCTCCCCACCCCCATCTTCCCTTCCCTCCTCCACACCAACATCACTGTGCAATCCCAACCATTCCTTCCTACCGCTCCTCCGTTCCTCACCGTGCGGAGGGTCCCTGCTGGAGGCCAACATAGCTGCTGCCAGCAGCAGCCACAATCATAGAGTCATCATTATTTATGGTGGCACTGCTGTGATTCCGATCCATGATCTCACTGTTCGCACACAGCGATGCAATCTCAGATCGCAGCGTCATAGCCCCCGAGGACCGCCCGTCCATGCGGCTGTGACCCCCTCCCCCATGCCCCCCCATCTCCATATCATCCTCCGCTGTCGAAAGCGCTCGGCCCAGCCTAAAACGCCCAGGCCTTTCCCCTCCTCCTCCTCCTCCTCCCTCACCTCCTCCTCCCTCCTGTCTGTCCGCTGGGCAGAATTCGCGCACCATGGCGCCCAATCGCAGCACGACATCTGCCATTTCGGGGCGGTGGGCAGCGCGGCGCTTGATGCAGTCGAGGGCAATGTCTGCGAGCTCCAGAACAGCGTCCTCTGAGGCCGTCAGTGTCTTGTCCTTGAGCTCATCTATCTGGTAGTCGTGTAGCTTGATGGACGCCTGGGGGGGGGGAGGGGGGGTGAGGGGAGAAGAGAGCGTGCGAGAGGGGGGACGGGAGAGGGTAGGGTGCGGGAGGAGCAGATGGGAAGAAGGCGTCACCTAGTTGTTGTGTAAAAGATGGACGCCTGGGGTGGGGTGGGAGAGCGAGGGCACAAGACCAGACGCAATGAAAGCAAGTGCTGTAAGGAAGCATTAAAGAAAGAAGCAACAGGGTGAGACCGGACTGGGGAAGGGAAGGGCAGGCACGGGAAGGCCAGATACGGCAAAACCAGGCACGGGAAGGCCAGGCATGGCAAGGGCAGAGACGACAAAGGAAGGCCAGGCACGTGAGACGGGAAGGTAGGCGAGCGAGTGAGCGAGTGAGAAAGAAAAGCATACCCATTTGCCGATGTGGCAGGACCTGTCGATGGTGACTGGCTTGCCTGTGAGGATCTCCAAAAGCACCACTCCAAAACTGGGGATGAGAGGACGGAGAGGGGTGGAGATGGGGGCTGAAAGGATGAGGGAAGGGAAAGGAATTCCCTTGGGGGGGGAAGAAGGGTTTGGGGCACACTGCCCAATCTGGCGTGCCTGCCTTTGAGTCGACTCGAAAATCACCTGCAAGCACCACTGCTAGCACCCACCTGTACACATCGCTCTTGGTAGTGACCATGGCTGTGCGGTTGTAATCGGGGGCCACATAGCCCGGCGTGCCTTTTGAGCCTACTGTAAAGTCACCCGACGCAATCACCAGTATATGCTAGCACACCCACCTGTACACATCGCTCTTGGTAGTGACCATGGCGGTGCGGTTGTAATCCGGGTCCACATAGCCGGGCGTGCCTGCCACCTTGGTGGCGTTGTTGCTGCCCTCTCCGTACTGTAGCTGCTTTAGCAGCCCGAAATCACCGATCTTGGCCTGCGCTTGCACGCAGGGGGGGGGGGGGGGGGGTGGGGGGAGGGAGCGCATGAGTGAGTGCGTGAGAGGGGGGGGGGTTGTGCTGAGAAATAGTGCTTTAGAGTGGAACTTTCGGAGTTGCAGTGAGCGGGTGTGCTGGAAGTAGGGAATGCTGCTGAGTTTCGAGGTGAAAAGAATGGCAATTGTTATGCGTGTCATGAGCAAGCCGGTATGTACGTGTCACATAATGTACCTCCAAGGATTCAGTGATGAGGATGTTATTGGGTTTAATGTCGCGGTGAATGATGGGAGTGGCGAAGCTATGCAGGTATGCCAGGCCCTCTGCTGCTCCCAGGGCGATCTTCAGCCGACTCTCCAGAGTCAGCGGCTCTGAGGGCCGATGCCGCACGCACAACACGTTGATCGCATCGCATCACACCACATTGAATCACATCACATCACATCACATCACATCACATCACATCACATCACATCACATCACATCACATCACATCACATCACATCACATCACATCACAGAAAAGAATAAGTTAATGAAAAGCAGCAGGAGAGCCACTGGAGAGCACGCAGAAAGGAATGAAAAACGAGTGATTCGCAATGGTTTCTGATAAAACCTGGTAAAGAGAGGATTAAAGAATTCGCAAGACGGCGGAGGGAAGGCAGGTGGACGGTCCGACGGACGTTGGGGGGTGCAGATGTGGTGGTCTAGGCCGTAATTGGAGAACAAACTCATACACAAACGCGAACTCCTGCTTTAAGTGAGACGATTATTGAGGCGCCTCAGAAAGGCGGATGGGTGGTGGACTGACTTTTAGGGGAGCGGATGTGATGGTCAAGGTCCCCGTTGGCAACAAACTCGTAGACGAGCACCTGCTCCTGCTTGGCTGTCTCCACGTCCATGTGCAGACAGAAGCCCAGCAGCCGCACCAGGTTGGGGTGGTGCAGCGTTGCCATCGCCCGCACCTGGACGGAGAGAGAGCACGGGGGCAAACGAGCGCATGCATGAGCATGGACACAGGTGATGCATAAGAAAGAATGATGCACATGTGATGCATGCATATGCACGAGTGGAGGGCGTGGGATGTGGTGGGATGCGGCGCGTGCATGACGAGGGTGGGAGAGAGGAGTGGAGGAGTGAACTACTGCGGAAGAGGAGCAGGGCGGACATAGGGAGAACAGAAGATTGCACAATTAGTTCCCACCCACGCAAGCATCTTGGCTCCCAGTAGTGCCAGAGCTTTGTTCGAGGCGATTCAAGAAGATTAGAAACGGCTACGAACCTCTGTCTCGAAGTCGTTAAACGAGCGCTTCACAGGAAGGCTCTTGCAAATCCTCAAAGGAGCCAACCTTACAGGAAGGCTCTTGCTCCCCTCTCCCCTCCCCTCCTTTTCCCCCACAGACCTCAGTCTCGAAGTCGTTGGACATGAGCTTGACGCGCTTGACAGCAACCACCAGCCCGTTCTCGTTGACGCCGCGGTACACGGTGGCAAAGCCGCCCTCGCCCAGCACGTTCTTGTCGTCCCAGTTCTCCGTGAACGCGCGCACCTCTTCTATGCTGTACTCCTTGCACACGTCCAGATCCGTCCATGTGCCTGTGGTGGTGAGGAGGGGGAGGTTGAGGGGGGGGAGGACGATTTGTTAGGCGTCTCAAAGGTCATACCAGTTGTCAGTAAACGCGCACGCCTCTTCTGTGCTGTACTCCTTGCACACGTCCAGATCCGTCCACGTGCCTGTGCTGCTGGGGGGGAGAGGGGAAAGAGGGGAGGCGGGAGAATTTTTTAGTCGACCCAAAGGTGGTCCCAGTTGTCTGTGAGGGCGTGCACTTCTATGCTGTACTCCTTGCACACATCCAGGTCCGTCCACGTGCCTGCCGTGGTGGTGTGGGGGAGGGGAGGGGGTGGTTGAGTCAGAAGAAAATTGGAGCCGTCTCAAAGGTTGCCCCAGTTGTCTGTGAAGGCGCGCACCTCCTCTATGCTGTACTCCTTGCACACGTCCAGATCCGTGGTGGTGGTGGGGAAAGAGGGGAGAGGGCGAGAGAGATGTGGTAGGTGTGGGGAAGAGGGGGGCGGGAGGGGGATGGGAGGGTGGTGAGAGGGGGCGGGCGGATGGGCGAAAAAAAGGGTCTGAAAAATGGAGAATGGCAGAATGGCATGTTTTATGGGGTGAATTGATGAAACTTATGCACAGTGGTGAAGTGTACATGCATGGATTGAACAAGTAACTTGAGTGCATCTGTTCAGCACCGCCGGCGGTGGCAGCAGCAGCAGCAGCAACAGCAACAGCAACAGCAGCAGCAGCAGCAGCAGCAGCAACAGCAACAGCAGCAGCAGAAGACGTACGTCTCTTCTTCTGTTTCCGGAGAATGAGCACGGCAGCCACAGCAGCAGCGACAATGGCGAGTGCAACACAGCCGCCCACCACTATGGCAATGATGGCGCCCGTGGACAGCGGTGGCGCTTCTGGTGCCGGTGCAGCTGGCAATGGGGTTGAGAGGGATGGGAGCGACAAAGGAGGGGAGAGGCGAGGAGGGGAGAGGAGAGTCGGTACAAACAGGGCAGGGAGGAGTTACAGATGGGAGGAGAAGGGGAGAGTGAGAGAGAAGTGCCAAGAGAGTGTAGTGGAAGAGATATTCAAAGGCAGGGAGTGTGATCGAGGGGTGAGGCATCAAGGCGGTATGATCGTACCAGGGGGAGGAGTGAGTGAGCAGGTGGGAGTGCCGTTGTCCAGCCAGAGCAGGTAATACCCATCGTCACATGCACACGTGTACGCACTGTCAGCCGCTACCGACGAGTTTCCACCAGCAGTAGCAGTAGCAGCAGCAGGTGCATTACCCGAACCGTCACCAACAGCCACAGCAGCAGAAACAGGCACGCAAACACCATGCCCCCCGCAAGGCAGGTTCGAAGCAGTGAGGCCGCAGTAAGCCAGGCACTCCTCATCGGTCTTCTGTGTCTCGTTGGCCACACAGCTATCTGCTGCCACCGCCATGTCAAAGCAGTTGCTGCTCAGACTCGCCCGCCCGCGCCGGTATGCATTTTGTCCGCCGCTAGACGTGTAGTCCCGCCCTGTCATCTGGAAGTCCAGGAAGCTCGCATTGTATTGCACCTGAGGAGGGGTAGTAGCAAGGGAACGCGGGTGGGGAGATTAGCAAGAGAGAGAAAGTAAGCAGGACGGGCAGAATGAGAATCAGAACCCTGAAATAAGTGCAGCTGAATATATATATGAAAAAAAATGGAATGGCAAACTAAAAGGTCAGGCAGGCAGGCGGGCGGGAGGACGGGCGGGCAGGCAGGCAGGTAGGCAGGAAGGTAGGTACCTGGTCGGGGCAGTAGAGGGTGCCGTTGGCGTAGAGAGTGGGGTCGCCATAGAAGAAGTTGTGTGCAATATTGAGCGTGCTGTAGCCGGGGTTCATGCCCTTCATGTTGCGGTTCACCACGCCCGTCAGCGAGTTGTTGCTCACGTCGCTGGTGCCAGGGGGGCGTGGGTGGGTGGGATGGGGTGTGGGTGGGTGGGATGGGGACACGGGTAGATGAGAATGGGTGGTATGGGGGAATGGGCCATGGGGGAGAGAAGTCACAAGTACGAAATGCTCGTGCGGAGGGGAGTGGGTGATGAAGTAAGGCAGTGCAGTGCACTAAGGTGCAGTGACGTGACGTGCAGTGCAGTGCAGTGCGGTGTGCATGGTTGTTGTGCTGCTTTACAGGTCTCTAAGGCTGGCGAAGTTGACAAGGCAGGAGGGCATGGTCCCATAGAACAGGTTGTTCCGTAGCACCCTGCGTTGCGTAGAGCAAGAGAATTCGCACCCAACACCACGCCACCCCACACCACACCATGCCATGCCATGGATAACCCAGGGCAAAGCACGACATACATCATGATTAAGAGAGTGAGAAGGGAGTGAGTGCAGTAGGAGAGTGGCAGGCAGAGAGGGCACGAGCAGAGAGGGCACGAGCAGAGAGGGCACGAGCAGAGAGGGCACGAGCAGAGAGGGCGGGGGCTGCGCACAGGCTGTTCATGCGCGTGAGGTTGCAGAGGGACGATGGAATGGTGCCCGTGAGGTTGTTGCCAAACAGCCACCTGCATGACATGACAACAAGCCAACAGGCATAGGCACCCGAGAATTGACCAGAGGTGGGGAGCGGCGGCGATCGACAGGGGAAGGTAGGAATGGTTAGAAGTTTCCTTCTACGGCGACATGAAAGTTTGGCAAGCAGGAGAACTGTAAGCACTTGCAAGAAGCAGGGGCACCAACAGATGAAAGAAGAAACGACATCAGCCCTGAGTAGGAATCTGGACTGGGATGGGAACACCAATGCCCAAAACTGGCACAGAGCAAGCCTGGGCGCTCACAACAAGCATCGGCACAACGAAGCCGGGGTGCAAACCGGCACGCAAGCCTGGAACAGCACGTACAGAGTCTCCAGGGATGTCAGGTTCGCAAGAGTATTGGCGACAGCGCCTGTAATGGCATTGTTGCCCAGTGACCTGATGGGCATGGCGGTGAGAGGACACACAGGTGAGGTGAGAGGCACAGCCGCAGCAAAGGAGGGAGGAAGGATGTTCTGAGGGGCGTGTTGCGGCCTGCTTTGCTGGCAGAGGCACGGAAGTAGCGGTAAGGGAAGCTTGGTGGGTGGGCCTGTTCAAACTGGCAGCAGCAGGGTTGCGGTCTCCCTAGAAACCTAGTTGTATTCTCTCAATCAGAGTTGAGTTCAAATGAATCACAATCAGGAGGAGATAGGCACACGGCAGCCTGAAACATCACAAGGCAGCCTTGAGAGGCGAGAGAGCGAGCAAGAGGAGTAACGCGGGACGTGGGGGACGAGTGGAGGAGAGGGGGCAGTGGTGCTGACAGTGCACTGAGCTGAGTGAGAGCAGAGATATTCACAGGTACTGACCCTGTGCGTGAGGTGACTTTAAGTCGACTCATCGTGATCGTCACCTAAGAGAAAGGGCAGCGGTGCGGTGCTCACAGTGCACTGAGCTGAGTGAGAGCAGAGATATTCACAGGTAGGGAACCTGAGAGCTTGTTGCTGTCCAGAGACCTGGGAGTGCAATGAACGGAAGGAGGGGGGAGGGGGCGGCATGGAATGGGACGGAATGAGGAGGGGGGAGATATGGGGTGGGAGGGGGTAGGAACGTGATAAGAAGAAAAAAGGAACAGGGAGTGCGGGATGTGTTGAAATCACTTTTGAGAACTCTCAAAAGGGATGTGGCATAGTTATAAGCAAAAGCATGACCGTGTGGGTGGGGGTGACAAGCTGGGGACTGGGGGCGGTCTGAGAGGGGAGGATGGATGACGAAAGAGGGGATCATGAAATCATTAGAAAGGCAGGGTATGGTATGACATAGAGTGGAAGCGTTCGTGGTGACGAAAAGAAGGATTGGTGGTGAGGGAGGTGTATGAAGAAGTGCTTTAAGACGTCTCAAAACACTTCTTCGTACACATAGCGTGGAAGCGTTCGTTCGTGGTGACGAAAAGAAGGATTGGTGGTGATGGAGGGGTGCGAAAGAAGGGGTTACAGGAGCTGGAGCGATGTGAGGTTCCCGATTGACTCTGGGATAGCGCCTGTGAGGTTGTTGCTTCCGAGGTAGCTGACAGAGAGGTGGAGAGGAAGGGTAGGGAAGGCACGAGGGCGACAGTGGAAGAGGGAGAGGAGACATGGCAACAGGAGGATGTTTAGCTTGATTCGAGATAGGCTACGGTGTTGTTGATGTGGCCGATACTGCTGTGGAGGATACAGTAAGTGAATGCAGCAAAACGGACGACTTTGGAACCAGCTCCAGCAGCAGTGCTACAACCAGCAGCAGTGGCAGTGACGGCAAGAGTGGCGGCGGCTGCGGCGGTAGCAGCAGCACGTACAGTATGGCCAAGCCTGTGGTGTTCCATGCTTTGAAGTTAGGCAGAGACCCTGTGAACTGGTTGTAGCGCAGGTCCCTGTGAAGCACAGCACAGCACAGCACAGCACACACATGAGAGCACACATTATAGCTGTAAGACAACCACAGGATGCTGCACACAAGTCAAGGCCGCAGCAGCAGAAAGTCGATAAAAGGCCCCTCCCATTCACTGGCTGCTTATCCCCCACCCACCCGAGCCTCCCCCCAACCTCCCCCAATCCATGTGCTCACACAACCATGCTTCCCCCTGTGCCTCCCCCCAACCATGCATCCCCCAACCATGCCTCTAGGAAGGCAGGGGTGAAGGAAGTGGGTGCACTGACAGGCGGAAGAGCATGGGCCAGTTGGCGATCTCCTGTGGTATGGGCCCGCTCAGGCTGTTGCCAGCAAGCGTCCTGTCAGGCCATGCAAGCAGAAAGCAAGACCGCAAGTGCGGTGGTGGGCAATGGCGTGGGGTGCATGAGGGCAGGGCAGGAGGTGGAATGGAGAGAGGGAAAGGTGGGTAGATGGTGGTAGAGGGATTGCAAAGTGGTCGGTTGGAGGAGGGAGAGGGAGGGAGAAAGGGAGAGGGAGAGGGAGATGGAGAGGGAGAGGGAGAGGGAGAGGGGGAGGGAGAGGGAGAGGGAGAGGGGGAGGGGGAGGGGGAGGGAGAAGGGGAGGGAGAGGGAGAGGGAGAGGGAGAGGGAGAGGGAGAGGGGGAGGGAGAGGGAGAGGGAGAGGGAGAGGGAGAGGGAGAGGGAGAGGGAATGAGAGGTTCGAACGAACACAAGCAGAGCAGAAGCAGACTAGCAAGGTTTGGATATCCAATAAAAAAAGGCATGTGGAAATTGTCGCGTGGCTAGTTGGTGCTATTCTCATTAGTTTCTCTCTTTAACCCCATAGTTAAGTTTTGGTGATTCTTGTAGGGTTTGCTGGCATCTGATCTCATAAGCCTACTAGTCAGTAGGAGAGGCGGAGGCAGGCTGTGGGGTGGTTATACAGGTCAGCAAGGTTCGACAGCTGGTGCAGCGCAGGGGGGATGATGCCCGTGAATCGGTTGGAGTTGAGATTGCTGCAGGCATAGACGGAGAGAGAGGGGGAGAACGGGACGATGCGCATGTGTTGCTTGGAGTGGGATGGGTCCAACGGTGGGTGAGGATGAGTAGTGGTGCATGCGTGCAGATGAATGCATACATGCACATGTGAGCGTACATGATACATGCACATGAGCATGCACACACACAAACACTAATGAACGCAACACAAGATGGTGCAGAAGTGGACATAAGATGGGGAATGCGCAAGCATGGAATGATGATGCCTGAGGCACCTTGGGAAAGCTCAAAATGCGGCTAACAGTGTCGCAGGTAGTATGGCGCATCGAGCATGGGACATGGGCATGGAGCAATGGAGCATTGAGCAATGGAGAATGGAGCACGGGGCATGGAGCCTGAAGCACGGGGCATGGAGCCTGAAGCTTAGTTGTGGCGAGAACGGACAGTGTAGCGAGGAAGGAGAGGCGGGTGAGAGCAGCAGGGATGGGGCCGGTGAACTGATTGTAGTCCAGGTAACTGCAGCAGACAGCAGACAGCAGCGCAGGGATGGCCGGAGATGCACGGTGGGAGGAAGGGGTATGTGTGTGGAAGAGGGAGATGGGTTGGGGAAGCAGGAGGATGGAATGGACCTAGAACCCATTGCTGGAGCAGTGATCCCAGGAATGGACCAGAGATTCCAGGATACGGGGCAGGGCATGCGCCATCCCAGCGATGCACGGAGAAGGCTTTTGAGTCGACTCAAAAGCTGGACCAGAGATTCCAGGATACGGGGCAGGGCATGCGCCATCCCAGCGATGCACGGAGAAGGCTTTTGAGTCGACTCAAAAGCTGGACCAGAGATTCCAGGATACGGGGCAGGGCATGCGCCATCCCAGCGATGCACGGAGAAGGCTTTTGAGTCGACTCAAAAGCTGGACCAGAGATTCCAGGATACGGGGCAGGGCATGCGCCATCCCAGCGATGCACGGAGAAGGCTTTTGAGTCGACTCAAAAGCTGGACCAGAGATTCCAGGATACGGGGCAGGGCATGCGCCATCCCAGCGATGCACGGAGAAGGCTTTTGAGTCGACTCAAAAGCTGGACCAGAGATTCCAGGATACGGGGCAGGGCATGCGCCATCCCAGCGATGCACGGAGAAGGCTTTTGAGTCGACTCAAAAGCTGGACCAGAGATTCCAGGATACGGGGCAGGGCATGCGCCATCCCAGCGATGCACGGAGAAGGCTTTTGAGTCGACTCAAAAGCTGGACCAGAGATTCCAGGATACGGGGCAGGGCATGCGCCATCCCAGCGATGCACGGAGAAGGCTTTTGAGTCGACTCAAAAGCTGGACCAGAGATTCCAGGATACGGGGCAGGGCATGCGCCATCCCAGCGATGCACGGAGAAGGCTTTTGAGTCGACTCAAAAGCTGGACCAGAGATTCCAGGATACGGGGCAGGGCATGCGCCATCCCAGCGATGCACGGAGAAGGCTTTTGAGTCGACTCAAAAGCTGGACCAGAGATTCCAGGATACGGGGCAGGGCATGCGCCATCCCAGCGATGCACGGAGAAGGCTTTTGAGTCGACTCAAAAGCTGGACCAGAGATTCCAGGATACGGGGCAGGGCATGCGCCATCCCAGCGATGCACGGAGAAGGCTTTTGAGTCGACTCAAAAGCTGGACCAGAGATTCCAGGATACGGGGCAGGGCATGCGCCATCCCAGCGATGCACGGAGAAGGCTTTTGAGTCGACTCAAAAGCTGGACCAGAGATTCCAGGATACGGGGCAGGGCATGCGCCATCCCAGCGATGCACGGAGAAGGCTTTTGAGTCGACTCAAAAGCTGGACCAGAGATTCCAGGATACGGGGCAGGGCATGCGCCATCCCAGCGATGCACGGAGAAGGCTTTTGAGTCGACTCAAAAGCTGGACCAGAGATTCCAGGATACGGGGCAGGGCATGCGCCATCCCAGCGATGCACGGAGAAGGCTTTTGAGTCGACTCAAAAGCTGGACCAGAGATTCCAGGATACGGGGCAGGGCATGCGCCATCCCAGCGATGCACGGAGAAGGCTTTTGAGTCGACTCAAAAGCTGGACCAGAGATTCCAGGATACGGGGCAGGGCATGCGCCATCCCAGCGATGCACGGAGAAGGCTTTTGAGTCGACTCAAAAGCTGGACCAGAGATTCCAGGATACGGGGCAGGGCATGCGCCATCCCAGCGATGCACGGAGAAGGCTTTTGAGTCGACTCAAAAGCTGGACCAGAGATTCCAGGATACGGGGCAGGGCATGCGCCATCCCAGCGATGCACGGAGAAGGCTTTTGAGTCGACTCAAAAGCTGGACCAGAGATTCCAGGATACGGGGCAGGGCATGCGCCATCCCAGCGATGCACGGAGAAGGCTTTTGAGTCGACTCAAAAGCTGGACCAGAGATTCCAGGATACGGGGCAGGGCATGCGCCATCCCAGCGATGCACGGAGAAGGCTTTTGAGTCGACTCAAAAGCTGGACCAGAGATTCCAGGATACGGGGCAGGGCATGCGCCATCCCAGCGATGCACGGAGAAGGCTTTTGAGTCGACTCAAAAGCTGGACCAGAGATTCCAGGATACGGGGCAGGGCATGCGCCATCCCAGCGATGCACGGAGAAGACAGCGGGAATGGGAGAATGAGTGTGTGCGTGCGCGTACTGAACACAGTTGCTTGGACTCGGATCAAATTGTTGGTTTCCAGCAAGGCAGGTGAAGAAGCAGGAGGAGAGTGCAATGGAGTGAGTGAGTGAGTGAGTGCGTGAGTGCGTGAGTGAGTGGGACGCACATGGCATTGAGGTTGGGGAGGTTGAGCGCAGCAGCGGGGAACGTTCCTGTGAAGTTGTTGTAAGAGAGGGATCTGCATGCGAGGGCGGTGATAGAGTGATGGTGGGAGCGAGTGTGAGAATGAACACACACACAGCACTGGAAGAGCTCATGTGTGTGTGCATCTGCGCATACATGCACACATGCTGACGCATGACACATGCACCTATGCACCTTGAGAACCGCTGCTTACTTAGCACATGACAAGTGAAACTTGCAACAACATGTGAAAATGGCAAATGAGATCACAGGCATGGAGCAGCACCAACCAACCAACCAAGCTATGGCATGGCATTGCAGGGCAGGAAAACCACAAAGCAGCATGCATGCATGCAGCACATACAGCATGCCAAGGTTCGAAAGGCGGGAGAGTGCAAGAGGCACTGGGCCAGAGAACTGGTTGCGCTGCAGAGTCCTGTGAGCCAGGCACAAGCCGGAACACATGACAGGGTGCAATTGTGAGACGCAATCCCAACAGGGTGGAAGGGAAAATGAGAGAGAGCTCCATGTGATAGCACAAGAGAAGGCCTCACAGTAGGGTGCCCCACTGCCGTGCTTGTGAGGGGGATTGTGAGGGGGAAGGCCTGTGAGAGGGAGGGAAGCGAAATGCTGTGGTGACAAGAAGATATCTGGCACGACGGTTAACAATGAGAAGATATGAGCATAATTAGGTGAGGTGGATGATAGAGAAGAGCAGTGCGAGCATACAGAGAGAAGAGCCATGTCATTGGGAAGACACTGGGAAGACCTCCTGTGAGCTGATTGCCTCCTAGGTTCCTGCAGTTGTACGTGAAAGGGACACGGGTGGGTCAGGGGCATGGTGGGGAGAGAAGAAATGAAGGTAGAGGTTGGAGCCTAAGCATGGATTGCTGGATGGATGGAGAGAGAGAGACGAGAGGGAAGGGGGGCAAGAGGGGAGGTGGAGGAAAGGGAAGAGAGGGAGAAGGGGAAATGCGTGAGGTGGATTGTATTGCCCCATTGATCGTGGTGAGACACGCGATGAATAAATGTAGTGCAACGAGCGCGTGAGTGGGGGAGAGAGAGTACTGACAGGTCTTGAATGGAGGAGAGCCGAGAGATGTACGGAGGGATGTTGCCAGAGAAACGATTTGACTCAATAGACCTGCACAACATGTTGCACCATGCACCATGCACCACGCACCACGCACCATGCACCATGCACCACGCACCATGCACCACGCATCATGCACCATGCACCACGCACCACGCACCATGCACCATGCAGCATGCACCACACACGATGCACCATGCACCACGCAGCATGCACCACGCACCATGCACCACACAGCATGCACCATGCAGATCCCATAAAATGATCAGCCTTGTGTGGGTGAAATGGACGGAGCATGCACGCATGCTAAACAAAGGGGAACCAATCACCAGCCGAGGGCACGGACTGAGAGAGCAAAGGCCAGCTGCAAGGAAAACGTGCCACGGATGGGGCATGGGGCTTGGAGCATGGAGCATGGGGGCATGACATATCATGCCGGGGTGCAGTGTGGCAAGAGCGGATGAGAGGCCCCAACACACTTTGGTAAGGGCAAGGCGGGACAGAAAAGGAGTAAAAAAACAAATGGAGGAGAAAAATAGAACAAAGCACTGGGGACGGAGTGGAGAGGGGGTAACCAAAAGGAGAGGGGCGAGTGGGGAAAGTGGAAGAGTGAGGGGAGGGAGGAGGAAACAAGAGTAGGACAGGGTGCAGAGGAAGAAAATAGCGAGAGGATGAGGAGGAAGAGGAGAGGGAGTGAAGTGTGTGAAAATTGCAGCGAATCCAAACGTACAATCCGGTGAGAAGAGGAAGGGCAGCGAGCACTGATGGTATAGGCCCTTCAAACAGGTTCATGGCAAGCGCTCTGTCAGTCAGCAGCACAGGCAGACACATACACACACACACACACACACACACATACACACACACACACACACACACACACACACACACACACACACACACACACACACACATACACAAAAAACAGGCGTGTGACAAGCAGTTTATTTTCCCAGTTTTTTTTACGAGCATGCCCAACAGGTGACAAACTGATGCAGAACATGCGTGCTTGCACCATCCTGCACAGCACAGCATGTTGACAACTCATAAAGAGCTGCGTATAGAAACGACGAGATTAGGCGAGGGAGACGAATGCGAGGCCACCAACGGAGGTGGAAAGGGGGAAAAGGATTGGTTTGGCATGCATGCACGCATGTGTGAAACCAATGGAGGCGAATAGAAAATGGAACCCACAGGGATTTCTTCCTCCTAAAAGCTGCTGCTCCTACTCATGACCAGTGAGTCAGCGGGTGAGTCAGTGGGTGAGAAAATGGGTGAGTCAGTGGGGTGAGTCAGTGAGGGTCAGTAGCCCGTGGATGCAATTGGCACTCACAGGTTTTCCAGATTCGAGCTGAGGGCCTGAGTTATAGAGCCCGACATTTGATTGTCATCCAACATCCTGAGAAAGAGATCAGAGGGGGCCGACTTTTAGTTGACTCAATTCTTAATTCTATACGGCCAGATATCTGATTGGCATCCAGCATCCTGAGAAAGGGTGAGAGGGGATCGCTACAAATGGTTTCGCTTGGGATTTATAATCAGCTTCTGCTGAGACATTTGACCCACGCTCAGTGTGTTAAGGCAATTTCTCCTGACGTGTTGCAGTTTCTCCCTTCAATGCTTGCACATACAGCTCGCCTACGCTAGATAACGGTGGTTGTGGTGCTGGTGCTTCACACAAGGAGCGGAGGTTGGTGAGGTTGGAGAAGGAAAGAGGGATGGATCCACTGATGTTGTTGCTGCTCATTGTGCTGCACACATGCATGTGCGATGGCAGGCAGTGTCCATGGGTGGAGAACAGATGCGTGGCAAGGGGAGATGGTGAGAAATGCGGAGAGAGCGGGGCGTATGAGAGACAGGAAACGCATTGGCAGGCAAGGGAATCGGGCAAGAAAGGAGAAGGCGTGGAAGGGAACGAACAACCGCAGGTCACAATCTGAGAACGCCAAAGGAGAGATGATATCCTTGCAGAGGAAACACAAAGGCGGGCAGAACGAGAAAATGTGAGGAAGGAAAATAGTAAGCAGAGGAGGTAGGGAGATAGGTGGCTGCAAGCAAACGAGGAGCTTGGGAGAGAGGCGGTTGGGAAAGAAGAGAGAGGAGATAGATAAAACATAAAGAGCGAAGGAGGGGCTTGAGAAGGAGTGGATCGGGTACAGGCTTGTGAGGTTGACGAGCGATGCCCACGAGTCTGGTAGCACTCCAAGCAGCCCGTTCATTGCCGCATCACTGGCATTAGCGCGGTTGGGCAGAGGCAGGGGAGAGGAAGAACGATAGTCTTGTGTGTGTCAACTATGCCTTTCGAAGCACCGACTGAAAAAGAAGAGACACGCGATAAGAAGGGGCCTTGGCGAATGACACGCAGTGAGCAGAGCAGCAGTTGGAATGGAGGATGCCCTGCCATGTGCTGTAGCGTGCTACGTTGTGCCGTGCTGTGCTGTGCTGCACTGCGCTGCGCTGCGCCGTACTGTCGTGTGGTACCACACTGATCAGCCCCTAGCCGTGCTGTGTGCACCCTCCCATCAGGTGTGCCGCTATCGCTGTGCACTGAAGTGTGCGCGTGTGTGCTCACAAGGTTTCCAGGCTGGAAAGCTTGGAGAGATCCTGAGGCACGATGGCGGTGCGGAAGAAAGGGCGGTCGTCCGGGACCAGCCCATGCAGATTGCTGTGGGGACGAGAAGAGGGGAGAGAGAAAGATGCAGAGGGGGGAAGGGGCAGGGGAACTTTTGAAATTTATCAAAAGCGAGAAAGGGCGGTTGTCCGGGACCAGCCCGTGCTGATTGCTGTGGCGACGAGAAGAGGGACGAGTGGGGAAAGAAGCGTGGGCGGTGAGTGGCGCGGGAGGAAGGAGGGACAACTGAAGAATGAGATTCGACGGAGGGATTGAGCGGGAGAGGGAAGAGGAAAGCATGGGAGGGGAGGGGAGGAGGGGGAGGGAAGGGGAGGAGGAGGACGGCGACGAGGACAGCTGTATTGTAGCTATAACGACATGCCAAACAGCATCTGAACTGAACCCAGTAAGTTCAACAACTGTTAACATGACACTGGAAAGCACCACCACACCAGGAGAGCTCATAGTAATCATCGCTACACTATGCTGATCGCCCAGCCACTTCAAAGAATTCTCATACGTGAGTGACACGGGCGCTTGACAGCTACCACACCAGGAAGCATCGCTACACTATAAAAGCACAGCAATCGCCCCCAGCCAGTCCTCACAGGTATTTCAAGCCGGAAAGCACGGTGATCCAATTTGGGAAGGAGCCAAACTTGAGGCTGCCTAGGTCTCTGCATACGTACAGAGCAGCAGGGGGTGGTAAAGCAGCAGGTGAGAGAGCAGCAGATGATAAAGCAGTAGGTCAGAGAGTAGTCGCCAGAGGGAGACGCAGGCAGAAGGGAAAAGAGGGGATCAGATTAAACTGAGGGACAAAACAGAGAGAGGCTCAATGGGAAGACGAGGTAGCAAAGAAGGACAGGGGGGGGGCTAGAAGGGAGTGACACTCACAGGAAGGTGAGCTGCTGCAGAGTGGAGAAAGTGAGGGGAGGCAGCTCGCCGTACATGTCGTTGTGAGCCAGCGACCTGCAAGGCGAGGGAGGCGGGGGGGTGGAGAGGGGACGAAGGAGCTTTTGAGTCGACTCTAAAGTCAAACTCTGCAGAGTGGAGAAGGTGAGGGGAGGCAGCTCGCCATACATACATGTCATTGTGCGCCAGCGAGCTGCGAGGCGAGGGAGGGGGAGTAGGGAGGGGAGGAGAGAGAGAAGGTGAGGGAAGGGAGCAAAGGACAGGGAGGGGCGGGTGGTGAAAGTTGAAGGCATGGAGGAGAAGAAAAGTAAGAACGTGAGGGATGATACACCGTCGCAAAAAAAGATCTCACGGGTTGTAACATAATCATTTACGGGAAAAGAAAGAATTCCACGGGGAAAGCAGGACAGTGACTGCTACCAGCTCTCCCTCCCCCACCGCCGTATGAGGTTGGCGAGTAGAGCAGGAATCGAACGGGAAAGAAAACGGGAAAGAAAGGCCTTACAGGTAGCGCAGCGAAGTGAGGGATGAGAGCCAGGTGAGGTTGGCAAAGGGACCTGTGACTGCTACCAGCTCTCCCAAATCACTGCCACGGCGAGAAGCACAGGGGAGAGGTAGGCGGGCGGGCAGGGCATGCAGGCGATGAGTTTTGAGGGCCAGAAGAATGTCATGCAAGGCAAGGTAGGCAGTCCACAAACAAGCACCTCCAATCCAAATTGATGAAGGGTGAGTGATCTTAGATTCAACTGAGTAGGACCCTTTGAGGGCATGTAAGGGACAATGAAGTTCCGTCCACTGTGCAGAATTCGTTGTAAAAGAGGCAACCATGTAGGGATGGCTGGCTGGTGGCCAAAGGACGAAAGGACAGAGAACTTCAAGGACAAAAAAGGGATGGTGTCGGTTGATCAGTGATAGCGCGGGTGGCTGACAGCATAAAGAGAAGACATGTAGTGGGGGGAAGGGAAGCGACGTAGCACGTGAGGAACAGATGGTGGCGCAGTGACACGGCATGCTTGCAAAAGGGAAGACGCAGGCAGACCAGCAGGCACGCAGGCAGGCAGGCAGGCAGAGAGTTTGGCAGGAAGGCAGGTGGGAGGGAAGAGAGTTTGGCAGGAAGGCAGGTGGGCGGGCAGAAGGGAAGCGCGGTCCAGCGCTTACAGGTAGGTGAGGCGAGTGAGGGCTCCGATGGTGGCAGGGAAGGTGCCGTTGAGGAAGAATGTGTGCAGATCGCTGGGGGAAATAGGTGGCGCGGGGAGAGTGGGGTGGACACAGGTGGGGTGGGGTGATGTGAAAAGGGAAGTATGTATGAGCAGGGTGGGTGTGGGTGGGAAGGTGTGCCCACGCTCCTCCTCTTTGCCACAACGGCGCAGCACGGAACGGCACAGAACGGAACGGAATGGAACGGAACGGTAGGGAACTGAATGGCATGACAGCTTGTGAGACGTCTCTCAGCGTGGTTGGTAGCACACTCAGATACGCTCAGATCAGATATGAAATAGTGTCACAGGCGGGTATCTCGCAACAACAACTTGTGAGGTGCGTTCCGGCACAATAGCACACTCACAGGTGGGAAAGGGCAGCAAGGTTCCCTATGGCTTCAGGTATGGGCCCGTAAAACTGGGAGTAACGAAGGTCACTGGCGGGTCATGGATGGTGAGGAATGTGGGCGGGCGTATGTGAAAGGAACGCATGGGAACAGGACAGGGCATGTGAGAGGGACTGATTGATTAGTCATGAGAAGTGATAGTGGTGCAAAAGGTATGGCTTTACATTCCATCACATGGCATGGCATGGCATGGTATGGCAGGGCGTGGCAGGGTGGGGCATGGCATGGCATGGCATGGCATGGCAGGGTTTGGTGTGGCGTAGCAGGGCATGGCATGGAGCCGGGTGCCATAACATGGCATGGCGGCGGCATTGCGTGGCATGGCATAAAACAGAACGTGGGGCCCGGGGGAGATGTAAAACTGGGGGAAGGAAGTGGGGGAGGGAGAGAGAGAGGGGATGGAGGAAAGGGGAGTAGAGGGCTGACAGGATTTGGAGGTTGGAGAGTGCTGGTATGTACTCCATCGTGCCGTTGAGGTCCCTTTGCCTTGACAGATTGCTGCACGCCGTCACACACATACATACACATGCGGGCACACACACACACGTATACACGTCCACGCATGCAGGGTGAGTAGAGGGAATGGGGGGGGAAGGGGGCACATGACTGTGTACAACCAGGTGTAGCAACACAACAACCCCATCCCCCCACTTTCCACCAACCAGCCCAGAATACCCAATTCCCTTCCGCAAAATCTTCCACTCCCTCCTTCCCCTTCCAGTTCCGCTTCCCCCTCCCCTACTCCCCTTACCCCCTTCCCCCTACTCCAGTCCAAGCGCTTTCCCAACAACTCCTCCCCCTCACAGCGTTCTGAGCAGGGAGAGCTGCACGAGCGCGGATGGGATGCTGCCGTTGACCACCAGAGAGGGGTCCAGCCTGGGGATAGAAGAGGTGGCGGGGGTGGGAGAAGGGCATATGGACGGATGGAAATGGCAGCGAGATGGCGGGGCGGATGGTTGAAGGTTTGCGCATCTATGGGTGAAGAGAATATAACGCTGGAGTTTCTATAAGGCTGAAAAGTCATGGCAGAAGTGATTAGAGGTTACTTTCTGAAGGGTCAAGCGTTCCAAAGAGGGAAGGTTAGAAGGGCTAAGGCGTAGAGGGTTAAAGATCAAAATGCGAGAATCAAAGAACTGCGTAACAAAGAATTGCACAGCAATGCAAAGCGAGGAGCTTGTGGGGAGCGAGAGCGAGAGAGGGAGGAAGTTCGAGAACGGGCGCAAGTTCGAAAAACGGCGAGAGAAAGAGAGGGAGAGGGAGAGGTGCGATGCGTACTGTAAGGCAGTGACGTATCCAGCGGGATTGCACGTGACTCCAGCCCACTGGCGGCACGCAGTGGTCGCATTCGTGTTGCCCGGCCATGTGCCCCCCCATGCCTCGTTCAGCTGCACCAGCGCTGACACTGCCATGCCATGTGCACGCACATGCACCATACACCATGCACCCATGCAGGAGGCATCCGTTCAGCGGCATACAAGCAAACAATCATGCAGGCACAACCCGTGGATGCAGGCGAACAGGCAGACACATGCATGCACGCGCGCATGATCCGCGCGTGCATGCGGGGGGTGGATGGGGAAGAGGAGAGGTCCAGCGCAGGCGAGAGGGATAGGGGCAGTCAGGAGCTTATGAGAAGTCTCAGACGGAGGCGAGAGGCCCAACGTAGGCGCGAGGAGAGCAAGACTTGTAACGTTTAGAAACGAGCATCAGCAGGGCGAGTCAGCAAGGCACCCGCATGGCATCCGCATGGCCCCCTCATCTCCGCGCGCACCTTGAGACTCCGCCAGCGTCACAACTGCGCCACCTCCCTTTCCCCCCTGCTGCCCCGCTTGCGCCACTGCTACCCCAGCTCTCCCCCCATCCCATCCTTCCCCCTCCCCCGCTGCGTTCCGTACCCGCCATCCTTCCCGTCTCCCTCCCACTAATCGTCCCTGCGAGTCCGGTCCCATGGCGGTGCGGCTAATGGCGCCTACGCGCCGACGAACCAATGGCGAGACGACGCTTAGCAGACTATGCCTAGGGTTATAGTCCTCGAGCGAGTCGGCTTCGTGGCGCTGCGAGTGGCTCGTCTCGGGAGTATCCGAAATGGGTTGCATTTCTCGAGACTTGAGGCGTCTTAAAAACTGTGACGACTCAAAAGTGGCCTCGGGAGTATACGAAACGGGTTGCATATCTCGTTCTCTCGCGTCACGGTGCTGCCTGGAGGATTGACCGCGAAAAGGCCGGCCGTTGGATTGGTCGCTACTAGCGATAGCATTGCTGCCGCCATGGATTGTACGGGGTTCCTGAAAACGCGGCTGTTGCGAGTCACGAGGAAGGTATGCGCGACGCGCTTGAGGGTTCTTAGAGTTAAGGAGGTTAGCTCGCGTGGTAGTAAGATAACTGTCGGGGTCATTGCTGTCACTGGCGCCAATGTCGTTTGATAATGCATCGCTGTGCCGAGATGATCGAAAGTTAGACGCTACTACGAGTAGAGGGGGGTGGCAGAGGAGGAGGACGGAGAGAATGGAGAGAAGAAGCGGCGATAGGTCTGTCGAGAGAGACGGACAGTTTGAAACTTTATTTCTTAGCGTGCGCCGGCAACGTGACGGGAGGAGATACATTGTTAGTCTACGCGAAGTTGATGTCAAAGTGAGTGGTGTAAAAAAAAGGTGTTGAGCGAGTCGATGCGAAGCGACGCGAGTCTACGCCTGCTATTGCGAGACGCAGCGGAAACAGAGAGGGGCGTGGCCTGCAAATCACATCAAGGGTGGTAAAAAGAGAAGCACCAACGATTTGCCAAAAAATGATCAGGGTGTGCTGCCGTAGAAGAGTGCTTGCTTGACTGAGAGGCTTGGCCTCGAAAGAAATGACGAGGTTGTATTGTTGTGACTGAGAGGGGAGGAGAGGGGAGGAGAGTAGGGGGAGAGACTTGCTTGACAAACAGAGGTGATGCTGGTGATGGTGCTTGCTGCTGGCTGGCTGGTTGCGTACATTTCCAGTCAAGTCTCTCAAGGGAACTGGTGAGTTGGCGAGAGAGGAATTTTCTTGCAAGCTGAGCGAAAATATCGAACCAACCGATGGGCGTGTTACATTTACGACCGAATGCCGACCGCATCGCAGATCTCTCTCGACTCATCACCATCACGTCACGACGGCTTTACCCCACGTTCGTTTCCCGCCCTTTGCTGCCAACTGGGCAAAGATTTGAGGGTTTGCCACTGGCATCGTTGTCGAATAGCTCAGCAACAGACAGAAATTGAAAGAGTCCGTGTACACTACCACTTGTTGTTTTCACTCTTTCAATGTGTGCAACTGCTTCTTCATTCACTTTCACTAGGACTTCCTACGTAGTTTTGAAGGCAACAGTTCTGTGGGTTCAAACTAAAGCAGCTAAGTGTTTACTGGGACCAGCAGGGCTCTTGGCACCTCAAAGACACACCTAAAAATGGTAATGGCAACACAAAATATTCGTGGTCAACAGGGCATTTACATGGTACGAAATTGGAGAGATGTCAAAGCAGGTAGTCAACAATAAAAACTGCATTCACATATCAGAATAGCTGAATTCGGCACTCCATACACAAATATATTGTTTAATATGGAATTGATATAATGATGCCGTATCACATTTTTTTTCATATAGGTATATTCCACAATATGTACGAAGTGCACAACGGCATATATTCTTTCCAGCGATCAACCATGCTTGCCACATGGCACACCTCCTCTCCCCAACCCCACCCCCTTTCCCTCCTCTTTCCTCGCGTGCAATGCATCAAAAGGGCGTGGAAGGTGAGGTAGCCATGCTTGCCGCAAGGCACAGCTCCCAACCCCACTTCCCTCCTCTTCCCTCCCACACTGTCTTCCTTGCCTTCCATTGTGCTCCACTGCCCTCCAGATGGTGCCAGCCTGCATATGGCATGATATCATGTCACACCATGCCATGCCACAAAATGACATGCCACAACATTGGCATGTCACCAAATGACATGCCACACCATGCCATGTCACAAAATGACATGCCACACCATGCCATGCCACAAAATGACATGCCACACCATGGCATGTCACGAAATGACATGCCACACTATGCCATGTCACAAAATGACATGCCACACCATGCCATGTCACCAAATGACATGCCACACCTTGTCATGGGACACCCCAGTATGTCACACAGTAAAAATCCACACTGAAACAAGCCGTACTGAATAATACGTATCATGCCACACTGAATCATACCACTGTGCATCCAACCGCACTGCATCATGCCACACTGCATCACACCAAACCGTATGATCACACCACCTGTGTCATACAACACTATAAAATGCCACACTGTATCATACCGTAATGTATCAGACCGACCCCACTGTATCATACCACACAGTAACATGCCACACAGCACACCCAAGGGGTTTCAGCTCCCACTCTCCCACGCAAGGAATTTCATCCCCCCACTCGCCCACCGAAGGGGTTTCAGCCCCCACTCTCCCACAGAAGGGATTTCAGCCCCCACGCTCCCACCCATGGGAATTCATCCCTTCCCTCTTCACCCCTCTCAACCAGGCAATGACATGCCAGACATCATGACACATCATTGCACATGGATTCATGGCACACCACAGTCTGACACACCACATTATTACATGTCGGACTGAGATGCCACACACCACACTATCACATACCACATTAACACATACCACACTACCACATACCACACTACCACATACCACACTAAGATATGCCACAGTATCCCACACCACACTATCACACACTACATTAAATACCACACTGTGTGATCCCACTGTCGCATACAACTCAAAAAATTTCACCACTCACCCACCCCAAGGGTTTCAGCCCCTTCTCTCCCACTCACCCACCCAAGCGGTTTCAGCCCCATCTCTTCCACTTATCCACCCAAGGGGTTTCAGCCCCTGCTCTCTTCCACTTACCCACCTAAGGGTTTCAGCCCCTTCTCTCTTCCACTTACCCACCTCTCTTCCACTTACCCAACCAAGGGGTTTCACCCCTTCTCTCTTCCACTTACCCACCCAAGGGGTTTCAGCCCCTTCTCTCTTCACTTACCCACCCAAGGGGTTTCACCCCTTCTCTCTTCCACTTACCCACCCAAGGGGTTTCAGCCCCTTCTCTCTTCACTTACCCACCCAAGGGGTTTCACCCCTTCTCTCTTCCACTTACCCACCCAAGGGGTTTCAGCCCCTTCTCTCTTCCACTTACCCACCCGAGAGATTCACCCCTTCTCTCTTCCACTTACCCACCCAAGGGGTTTCAGGCCCTTTTCTCTTCCACTCACTCGCCCTCCCAAGGGGTTTCAGCCCCTCCTCACCTTCACTGCCAGCAGTAGGAGCAGCAGGCAGCCCACTTCCTAAAGGAAACAGCGCCCCCAGAGGCTTTGCCTTGTAAGGCGAGGTATGGTAGCGGAAAATTGCTTCCAGCCCAAGACTCAAATTCCACCCCTGACGTAGCCAGAGCTGACGCGAACCAGAGCCGCCGGCCGGTCGGCTCTGACGGTGTCCATTAGGCCTTGAACGCCAGTTCGGTTACTTGAGCACCGAGTGCCGTGCCGCACAGATTCCACCACCACACCCCACCAACAAGACAAAACCTCAGGAGATGCTGTCCCTAAGGCAGTGAACTCCCCGCTTGCTCCCATGCTCCCCACCCACCCACCCCACACTTCACCCCCATGCCCTCACTTGTACCTACCGCAGCCGTGCAGAGCGCCATGATGCTGAGGCTGCTGGGAAGTGGAGAGAAAAGAGGGGATTAGGGGAGGGAGAGACTTCTTTGTGGTCCAGGCAGGGTGCTGCTGGGAGGGAAGGGAGAAGGGAGAGGAGGAGGTGAGTGAGAAGGTGGACTCCACTCTCCCGCCCTAGCTCCAGTAATCCCACCTTCAGCCTGCAGGAGAGAAGTAGGGCAAGAGAGAGAGAGGAGGGGATCAGCTTTTCATACCTCACCTGTTACAATACCAAACCTGGTACCATATCTCACCTCATACCATACCTCACCAGCATCTAGCCTAGCCTGCCCCCTAGCCCCCGCTGCTGCTGCTGCTACTGCTACTGCTGCTGCCGGTCTGCTACTCTGCTTCCCCTGCTGCTGCAGCTGCCCCTCCCATCCCCTCCACTGCTGCCCTGCTGCTGCCCCTTGCCGCGCTGCTACGGCCTTCAATGCTCTGGGAGGGAGGGGAGGGGGAGGGAGGCAGGGGATCAAGGGACAGCACTGAGAAGCGGGAGAGCAGGCAGAAGCATCAAGGCAGGGAGAAAGAAAAAACGAAAGTGAGCAAGGGGAGAAGACCGAGCAACATCATGAGCGCAGGAGGGAAAAAAGGCTCACCTTAATCCAGACGACCAATCCTGATACTCCACCTCCCATCCCAGCTGAGTGGAGTGCTGCCCCCGTACCCTCCCACCACTGCCACCTGCACGGCCACTAGGGGAGGGGTGCCGGGGTGTGGAGGTGTTAACCCCTACGCCCCTCCTCTCCACCTGCAAGGAGAGAACTGAAGACAAGTGAGTGAGCGGCTAGGGGTAACAATGTGAAGGGCGTGCATGGGTGGGGTGGGGTGGCAGGAAACAGCAGGAAAGGGAGCCACTGGTGCAGCTTCAGCTACAAGCCACAGACTCAAAGGGAGGCTTAACCTGAGAGGATACCTGTACCTGGGTGGGGTGGTTTACCAAAAAAAAGGGGTCTGTGGCATGAAGTTGTAGCTCGACCAAAGGCTCAGGTTTGAAGGGAGGTTCAGGTCTCTTGGGTGCGACAGAAGGCAGCACATGAATAGAGAGGGGGTGCGTGGTACTTAGCTGCGGGTGGGTTGGGTGGGGAGCAGCTGGTGCCTGTGCACTCCATGTCCCCCATCACTGCAACTCCCGTGTGAGCGACCTCCTGGGACCAAAAGAGGGCAGATCGAGACAGAGGGAAAAAGGGAGGAGGGGAGGAGGAA